AAACCTGGAAAAGTCCCATGTCACCCTTGCTTCTCAGAATCCCTTTTTCCCCTCAACACTCTGCTCAAGTACATGAAACCTTTCCTAATCTCCCCAGCTGTGCCCTTCTCCTCAGATTTACCTGGGATTTATTTGGCATAGCTATTTTTATATAGATGTTATTGTCCTTCAGACCAAAAGCTCCCAGAGGGCAGGGACCCTTTAATTTTTTTTCCTTTGTATACCCAGTGTCTAACACAATTACTGACTCTTAGCAGTAGGCGCTTATTAAATGCTTATCAGTTGATTGATTTTTCCATTGTTTACTTAGGAAAAGTGCTTCTTACAGAAGGCAGCCCCAAAACACAGAGATTTCCTCAGAAAGCAAAAGGATGGGAGGGGGGAGGGTCCAAAGACCTAGCTCTCAATGTATGATCCTATAAAGTTTAGCAAGTTAAAAATTCCTGTGTAAGAAATCTGGTCACGACTGGCTTGAGCTCTAATCAAGGATAGTGAAGATTTAGTTCGCAGGCAGTTATATACAAGAGATAACCAGAATTTAAGTAGTGAGTTATACTAAATTACTTACATAGCCAAGGGGTGGAACAAGGCAACCACCAACAGAGCCAAACCTTTCCCATGAGAATCCTTGGTAAGCCTCCCTCTTTTCTATACTAGTTAATAAAGGGAGCCTTGTGACAGTTTCAGTCTGTGTCGTTACTGTGGAGACACAGATGGTGCCAGAGAGAGTGAGGACTGCTATATTTGTGATGCCAGATGTCAGGCCACTTTCATGAGCGGTACCTGCCACTGTCTGGGCTGAGCCCACTAAAGCAATTTTCCTATCTGAATAGGGGCCAGATTTCGGGTACCTATACTGATAGGAAAGGCTTCTCACACACACATTCAGGTCTCCCAATCCCTGAGATTCCGCTCTGCATTTATTTATATGTAACCACAGAAGGCTCGTTGATTTCATAGCAAGGTGGTCTAAGCAGGTCAGTCCTAGAGCAGGGGGCCTGTGTGTGTGTGTGTGTCTTCTGGACCTCTTTGGCAGGTTGATGAAGTCTATGGGCCTCTTCACAGAATCTTGTTTTTAATTAATTGAAGGAAATGCTAAATTTCAGTTATAGATCTGTAAAAATCAAGATGTCATCCCCCTCATCTGATCCATAGACCCCTTGGAGGTTGAATGTCTTAGAGGCACATTAAATGAAATGACTTGCCCAGGGTCATATAGCTAAGAGTGTCAAGAGGCAGTCTAGCACTCCAGCTGCTATGCCACAAAGACAGAATATTCCTTTCCCCTATAAACTTTTCTTTTCATGCTAAATCAGTCTATCAGTCAACTAGTATTAAGCACCTACTAGGTCAGGCACTGAGAATACAAATACAAAGAACAGAAAAAAAGCTACTCACAATAAGCTCATGTTCTGACCAGGGATAAAGCAAATACATGAAAGGAAGGAAGGAAACAAACATTTTTTTAAGCACCTACTATGTGCCAGGCACTGTGCAAAGCGCTTTTACAAATATTACCTCATTTGATCCTCACAACAATCTTGGCACATAGGTGCTATTACAGCTGAGAAGAAACTGAGGCATACAGGTTAAGTGATTTATACAAGGTCACATGATAAGTGTCTGAGACCCCACTTGAACTCGGGTCTTCTTGACTCTATGTCTACTGCTCTAACCACTGTGCAGCCAGCTGTGTATGAAAGTAGATAAAGTCCATACATATACACATACATATATCTATCTTGCTATCTCTCTAGATAACAGAATCAAATGCAAAGTAGTTTAGGAAGGATGACACTAGAATTTCAAGGGCGATTAGCAGAGGTTTCAGGCAGAAGACTGTGGCTGAGTTGTGTCTTTAAGGAAGAAAGGCATGCTGTGAAGCAGAGGTAATGAGAGAGTTGGTCCCAGGCATGGACAAAGATACAAAGGTGGAAGATGGATTGTTGTCTGTGAGGAACAGAGAAAAGGCCGGTTTGGTAGATGGAAGAATGTGAGAGGGGGAGTCATAGCCAATGGAAAGAGAGGTTGGGGGCCAGACTGTATATGGCTTTGAAAGCTAAACAGAGGAGTTCATATTTAATCCTGGAGGCAATAAGAAGCCACTTGAATTGTCTGAATAGGGAAATCAGTTGGTCAGATTTGCACTTAAGGAAAATTACTTTGATCAGCATGTGTTATGTGGAGTAGTGAGAGACTTAAGGCAGGGAGACCAGTTAGGATGCTGTAGCAATCATCTAGGTGAGAGATAGTGTGTGCCTGAACTAGGGTGGTAACTGTGGGAGGAGAGACAAAGGCTTGGATGGAGGGATGGTGTGGAGGTAGAAATGGCAAGTGGTTGGATCTGTGGAGTCAGGGAGAATGAGAAGCCAAGGATAACGTGGAAATTGTGAACCTGGGACACTGGAGGGATGTTGGTGCCTCCAAAAAAATAGGCAAGTTAGGAAGAGAAGAGGGTTTGGGGAAAAAAGGAGTTCAGCTTTAAATGTGATATATCCAGAACATCCGGTTTAAAATGTCTAATAGGTGAGTCATGATCCAGGACTGTGGAGGAGAGACTGGGGATGGATATATAAAAACAATTTGCTTAAAGATGATAGTCAAAGCCATAGGAGCTGATGAAGTGAGAGAGAGAGAGAGAGAGAGAGAGACAGAGAGAGAGACAGAGAGAGACAGAGACAGAGAGAGAGACAGAGAGAGATACAGAGACAGAGAGAGTGAGAGAGAGAGAGAGAGGGGGAGGGAGGGAGGGAGAGGGGGAGAGACAGAGAGAGAGACAGAGAGAGAGAGAGAGAGAGAGAGAGACAGAGAGAGAGAGAGAGAGAGAGAGAGAGAGAGAGAGAGAGAGAGGAGGGAGAGAGAGAGAGACAGAGAGAGAGAGAGAGAGAGAGAGAGAGAGAGAGAGAGAGAGAGAGAGAAAGAAACAGAAAAGAGGGAGAGAGAGAGAAGAGGGCCTACGACAGGAATGTGGGGAATAACAATGGTGAGGGAGGCATAATGTGGATGATGAGCCAGCAAAGGAGACTCAGAGTAATGTCAGGAAAGGACAGCCAGGGGGTCACAAAGAGTTGGACATGATTGAAAAATGACTGAACAACAAAATGGATTCAATTAGCATCTCTATGTGGATGATTGTCAAATACGTTTATCCAGACTTAACCTCTCTGTTGACCATCAGTGTCACATTTCTAACTACTTAATGGACATCTCAAACTGGATGTCCCATAGACATCCTAAACTTAACTTGCCCAAACTGTGCCCCTCATCTGTGCCCCTGCCCCAAACCTTCCCTTCTTCCTAGGTTCCCCATTGCTGTTGAGGGTGCCACCATCGTCCCTGTCACCCAGGCTTGCAACCTAGGTGTCATCCTTGATTCTTTTCTCATCCCTCATATCCAATCTGTTGCCAAGGCCTGTCCATTTTACCTTCTTCACGTGTCTTGTATACACCTCCTTCTTTCCTCTGACACTGCCCTCATCACCTCATTCCTGCACTAATGCAGTTAGGTAGTCCCCTTGACACAAGTCTCTCTTCATTCCACTCCTTTACTTAGTTGTCAAAATGATCTTCCTGAAGTGCAGTTCTGACCATGTCACACACTCCCCCTCCCCACCTGCAATACTCCAGTGTCTCCCTACCACCTCCAAAATCAAATAGAAAATCATCTGCTTGATGTTCATAACCTGACACCCTGTCTCCCTTCCAGTTTTCTTACATCTTGCGCCCCCTCCCCCTCCCTGGAATTGTTTTCATTCCCACAGTGGCCTCCTTGCTGTTTTTCCAACAAGACACTCTTATCTCCCTCCTCAGGGCATTTTCACTGGTTGTCCTCCATGCCTGGATTTCTCTCCCTTCTCTCTGCCCCCTGGCTTCTCTGGCTTCCTTCAAGTCCCAGCTAAAATCTTACCTTCTACAGGAAAACTTTCCTGATCCCCCTTCTGCCTTTCCTCTATTGATTATTTTCAGTTCATCTTGTCTGTAACTTGTTTGCACATAGTTGTTTGCATGTCATATCAATCCATTAGACCATGCCTTCCTCTTTGTATCCCCAGGGCTTCACACAGTGCCTGTCACATTGTTATTTGCTGTTTGTCCTCCAGAGAAGACCATGGCATCAGGGGGAGGTGATATGCAAGTGAATTGGATTTAAGTGAGGGAGGGTGGTGCAAACTCACCAGCCTCACCTCCTCCTCCAGAGCCATCTGAGTCCAGTGGTCATATATCGGTCAAGATGATTGGGAGATGGCTCGGGCCTGTCACATAGTAGGTGCTTAATAAATGCTTACAGACTGACTGAGATGGGGAATCAATTAGGGAGAAATAAAAGTACTGCCCGTCTTAGGGCTCAGTTAAGGTTGGATAACATGGATTTGTAATGCACCTGGCCAGCAGAGCTATGAGAATGCCTCCAGCTGTGTTTAGCAGCTGGTGAGGAGCAGAGGAAGTGAATGGTGGCAGTAATACAAGTTTGGCCGAAGAAACAAAACTCACTAAAACCTCAACTGGTTCTGGTTACTCTGTGATAATAGTCACATGCAAGCAAATGAAACGGCCAGCTTCCGTGGAAGGAACAAGTGTCAAGGATGAGATTATGTGACGGCATGCAGCCCTACCCCCCGCGGGCCCCCACGGATCATCCCCCTGCCCCCACCCCCACGGGCCCAGCTCTGAGATCACCACTTTCTCGAACTGCCTCCTGCTGAGCATGGGGAGGAAGGCAGCTCATCTCGAGCTGTCTGAGAATGAAACACATTTTACCAGAACTCACTTGGAGGTTTATTTCTCGTTACTTTTTTCAACCAAGGAAACAACACACTTCCTGAAGGGAGGGCAGTTGAGACCACTAAAGGAGAACTCGTTACGGCGTCGAAGGCATAGCTGAGCCATAACAGAGGCCTGCGGGAAAAGGCGGCTCTTGGACCCCGCCCCCCCGGAAGTACCGCCCCCTGGTGACTGCCCATGCGCCACCGCGAGCCCCTCCGCTGCCGCCGCTGGTGGCCTGCTGTTATCTCATGTCTATGAGCGGGTGGTTACGGCCTCGGTGTTTGCTCTGCCTTCTCCTAAAGTTTAAGCGGTATTCTCCCTCCCCCCAAGGTCCCCTCTGTGCGTCAGTCCTTATTGGTGGGAGCGGGTCGCTGCCCTCCCCGCTCTCCCACTCTGGGCCCTACACTGCCTTTGCCAGCCGCTGAAGTTCTTCTTCGCATGCGCTCTCAACGTGAGCGTGCTGGTAAAAGCAGTTCAACCCGAACCAGCAGCTGCCTTGGCTTCCATCAAAGTAACGGCAGGGCTTGCTGCTCAGAGCCTCCTTGTACTGTTGAATGAGCTTCTGCTTTTCTTCGTGCTCCTCCACCCAGAACTCACTCGGGATGACAAAGCTTGAGTTGAGCCGGCACTCTGGGCAGGCCTTGATGATTTTGCTTTCAAATTGTTTGGCATCTCTCCACTTTCGGATGCATTTGAGGCAGAAGGTGTGGTTGCAGTTGGTGAAGATTCCGAAGCAGAGCTCGTTGGGGTTGGCTTTCTCATAGATCACCTCCATGCAGATCCCACACAAACAGATTCTGGCTAGGCTGGATTGCTAAAGCCAGCTCCATATCCTTCTCAGCCAGCTCCATGTTCTTCTCGTGGGCCTCATTGCAACATTTGATATGGCTTAGTCTTTGGGGAGCATCCTCAGTGTTTGGGACCTTAAGTTCACATGAGTCACATGAATCTTCATGGAGACACACAGGGCCCTCCTCATGTGGACATTCTCCTGCTTCAGGCTTTTTTGGCTCCCTCTCGGTTGACTGTGTCCCAGACTCTTCCTCTGTCACATGACCCTGCTGGGATGCTCCGCCGCAGGTGTAGGAAAAGTGTCCACAGTAAGGCTGTCCGGGAACAAACTCGATAGCATAGACCCAGTCATCTGTACCTGGTCCTATAGCTGCAAAGCTGGCGTTTGATAGTTTTACTGTCCCAGAATTGACTACAGGATCTGCCAGTGGGGAGGGGCTTGGGGAAGCTGGAGGATGGAGTTTTGGGGCAGCTGGTTCTACTTTATCAGGCAGGCCCCATACATCGACTTCTGCAGCAGTCTTCACGAACACTTTGATAATCATGACACACCATGGCCTTCAGATTCTTGGGCAGCCCATGGGAGTATTGGCAGTTGTCCCCTTCTTTACAAAATCCATTCATGAAGTACCTGCAGGTGACTTTTTTGGTTCAGGTACCTCCTCTGCCATTGGGGTGACCTTCCCCACCCCCTCCTTGTGGAAGGGGTGGGGTAGTCACCCTGAGGATGGAAGCCAGTGCTACCTCCACCTCTACCACTGACAGGCTCGATGTTGTAGAGTCTTAAGGTAACACTTAAGTTTAAACAATTGGTACTAGAACCTAGGAAAGAATGCTGGGACAGAGACACATTTCTGAGTTGAGTTGAAAGGATAGCTATGTGGTCTTAATAAACATTGTAGGCCAGCCAGCTTATGTGTGATTTTCTCAACTCTAACCAGCCCATAGTGACTGGAGGGTTTGGTTTCCATAGAAACAGTGACAAGTAGGAGTTATCCTTTATGATGAAGTTGTTGATTATCACACTTACACCTCTTGGTCCTGATGTCAGGAAAGATTAAACTCTTCCCTTGGCAGAAAATTGAGACCTTTGGGGTAAAGGGTGAAAAGTAAAAATAAGCTTTAGGGCTCTTTAAAAATCAATTTAAAGGGAAAACAAGAAGCCATAGAATACAGAGTAGAAGTATTTTTGGTTCCATTTCACTATAAGTTAGTGAATTCCTTGGCTTAAAAATAAAACTAAACATATGCAGCCCATTAGCAATTCATAGGGAAGATCCTGACACTTTAAGAAAATGACCCTTTGCAAAAACTATTTTCTTAAATCCATTTCCAATACTTCTATCTTTTTCTTTCAAGGTGCTGTGAATATAGCCTGCCAGGAAATTACTGAATGGCATTTTGACAAGGCATATGTGCTGTGTGTGCTGTGTGTGCTGGGGTAGGGGGGAGGAGAGAGAAGGGGTGGGGAGTTAGGACCGGTATTCAAGAATGTTCTGCTAGCAAAGCTCCAATTAGGTAGTCAAATTAATCGTGACTTTTTTTTTTGAGTTCCTTATTTGATAGAATAGCATACACAAAATCCATATTTAATTCATCAACAGCCTGATATTGTATTTGATTATTTAATTAGGATTTAGAATATTAATTTGAAATAGAGCAGGATTTTCTTTTTCCTGAGGAAGTATTTACCTCAAAACAAAGTTGTTTTTTTTAAATATGAGAAAAGAATAGCTATTATGTGTGATACCATATGTAAAGCTCATTTATCCACTGAGTAAGTACAAGGAATAGAAAACATTTTAAATGTCAACCTAATTAGGTCACTTTATATTTTGGAACAGTGTTCTCAAATTCTATTTTAAGGATGTTAGTATTAGAGGTACTATATTACTATGCTACATTTGGAGGATTTGCTAATATGCACACACATCACGAATCTGAAAATCCCTGCTGGGTTTTTGGTTTTGTTTTGTTTTTTGGTTATTACATCTCCTCCTCTCATTCTGGCATAGTTGTCTATGTCTCTTATTTTTTCTCTTTTGCGTAAATTAGATATAGGTAGGATCAGACTTAAATGAATATAATGATAATGATTAATTGTATATCACAAGACTTTTTTTTGTCCTAGTCAATGGCCCATACTAACCTTGCTTTGCTGAGATGAATATTAAGAAGAAATGCAATATAATGAATGCATATGTTTAAAAATTCCTTTCTACTGGTAGGCAGTCCTTTTAACACACATCAGTCAACAAGTGTATGTAAAATGCTTGTTTGGTGTTTGGAATATAAACATAAGAATGCAATATTTCCTTCTTCCAAAGAGGTTACATCCCTTTGGAAGAGGCAATGTGTATACATACCCGCGTACATACACACACACACGTACACACACACACATGTACACACACACACACACACATACACACATACATATACACACACACACACATACATATACACACACATACATATACACATTCACAGGCAACAAGTGATTTGAAGGGTCAAGCACTAACAACTGGGCAGGAAAGATCTCGTGTATAAATTGACATTTGAGCTTCAATAGAAACTAGAAATTTGAAGAGAGCAAAGTTGAGGAAAGAGTGCGTGCCAGTGATGAGGGACAACCTGTGCAAAGATGCAGGGATACGAGATGAAATGTCATGTGCCAAGAACATCAAGGAAGATACATCACACATTGTGTGAAAGGCAATAATGTATAATAAGCCTGGAAAGATATTTTGTATAATATATCAAGTGTCTGATGGTTCTCTTATCTCAGAGATTTGGGGGATTAGCTGCAAACAGATGCAGATCCCAATCTATGCTGTCTCATGCTGTCCTACTCCTATCCAAATCCTGTAAATTAGTCACTTTGAGATTTCTGTGTTCTTTATACCTCTCAATCACGTGACTGTAAAGATGTGTTTTAATGTAGAATGTCATTTTCAGAAGGCTTCCTTTACCCTTCTTATACTTTCATCAAGGTAGCCCTCCATAAGAGTATAGATAATTTTCCTAAGGCTTTTGTACAGATGAGAAAGTAGATTGCTAGTTATTGTTATCCTCACAATTGTCCTTTTTTATACATGTAACATCCACAGGTCCCCCCCATCCCCCAATCATTTATTATCTTCCCCTCTTTCAGATACCTTGAGAATTGATTCCTCAGTGGAGTCTTCACCTAGTGGCCCCACCATGGTGGTCTGTATAGGACACTTTAAAGTTTGGAGCCTATCTTGAGGGGGTGGGGCTTGGGCTTAAGCCACATGCTTGGGCCTGCTGAGACAGATTTCTTGGCACTCATGCCTTGTCAGAAAATGATCAGTGAATCTTTGAAATGTTTATTTCCTTCTCCCACCTTCTATCTGGATAACTGGTGTGGTTCAATGGTCAGAGTGTTGGAGGAGGAGAGAGTGAGACTGGTGGCTTTGCATAGCCCTCCCTCACTTATGTCCAATTCACTTGCAAGTCATGGCATCACCTCCCTGATGTCGTGGTCCTCTTTGAGAACAAGGGACAAATAATAACAACAACAACAACTTGCAATCAGGAAAACGAAGGTCGAAGAGTACCTTTGACACTTGCTATGTTACTGCTGGTGAGTAGTTTAACCTCTTTGAGTTCAATGGGAATGATAATACTAATATTACCCACCTCCCAGGATAGTTGTAAGGCTCAAATGAGATCACATTTTGAAAACATTTTGAAAACTTCAAAGCCATATACACATATGTATATATGTTGTAAAGTACTAGAATTTAAGGAGTTACAGATAATTTCTCAGTCTTTGACTCTTGGGGAAGAAATGAATTTTTCTAGTGAGGGAAAGAAAGAAATCAGCAAGGGAGTTGGGAGTTTATTCATCTTTCCAATTTGGGAATTAATGTGAGGAATTTTTGCCTTTTCCTGCCTAATTCCTCATCCTCTGTCCTGCCAAAGTAAGATGTTATATCAGATGTATTAGAAGATGTATAGATGAAGATTGATTTATAATTCTTTTCTGTGTAGCCATGTAAGAGTATCTCCAAATCTTGCTTTCAAATGAGGGACAACTTGGCAAAAGCTTTCCAAGCTTTTTGGGCACAGAGATGATTTATTTGCATTTTTATCTTAATCGACCTGATTTTATTCAATTCAACAAGCATTTATTAAGAACTGATTTATTAATTACTATGTACTAAGCACATTGATAAGCACTGAGGATAGGATACTGTTCATTGTACAGCACGACAAACCTGACCTAAAAAGTTTACATTTTATTTAATATACTCAATATTACATTTAACATAATTTGGTTTATTGCGAATTCTAAAGCAATGGAAATCGTGCTTTGATATGATTCTGATTGGGGGTGTTTACTAATTGGGACATTAGAATTGGCTATAAGTGACGTAAATAGATGACCAGTCATTGACTAAAAGAGGATCCTAGCGATGAAAATTGCTTCATCTGTTTTGGAACTTGCTGCTGCCTTCTGTGGTGGGTCTTTGGATGCCTGGACTGTAGGCATAGAATATATGTTTCCATGTGAATAATTTGGACGCATGTACCCAAAATGCCTTTCTGAGCTATCGTTCCTCTCTTTCTCCCCCAGAACTAGCTATGCCAGACAGGGAGTAGAGCATGGGCCCTTTTTCTTTTGCTGCTTCCTTTTGTTTTAGGTTGGTTTTACATTTATTCTCTATATTCTAGTTTCTGATCCAAAGCATTGGAACATGATTGGTTCAGCAGGACCCTAGAAAAGGTATTTTTATTATTTTCTCATATCCTCCTGGAAGGGCTTTCACTTCAAGTTGGAGCCTCCACTTTGGTCTCCGATATCATCTCTGCATGTTTATTTCTTCCTCTTCTCATGAACTTTGGCCCATTTTCATTAGTGTTATGTGTATTTTTCTCTTCTGCCTGACTGTAATATGTATGCTTTACAGTTAGAAGCTGTTAGAGTTAAGTTCCTCATATAAAATAGTCATCTAATTGAGCTAATTTTCCTTTCCATGTACAATGTTTTGCATATTTCTTTTTGAGCTACCATTTTCTTAATATGATCAATGTATATTATGATTCTGTATGCTTAGTAAAATTGCACTCTTGTTTTCAAAGAGAGAACCGGCAGGTATAGTGTGCCAAGGCACACAGTTGCCAAGGATAAAAGATCCTATGTTCATCAGACTCTTGGAATATGTGTGAAAGTAGTACGTGTCCAGGCATTTCCCTCAGCAGATGTTGTGGAAACGAGAGAATGATGAGATCGGCAGTGTGAATGGAGAGATTGTCCTTGGTCAGGGCCACCCCATCCTCTAAGGGTAGAAAACATGGAGAGAAAAGCTTTTAGAAAATGCAGGAATGCTTAGAACAGCTGTTGTGTGGACCTGATAGACATGAATGGAGGAATTGTGTGATACTGAGGACCCACTTGAAGTTCACAAAATGTGAATCCAATTCAGTAAACAGGTATTGTGTACAAGTTGCTATCCTGGGCCCTTGGGATACAGAAATAAAAACAATCAGAGTTTAGCGGCAGAGACACTGGATTCTGAACCTGGAGGCCTAGCCTTGACTTTCTACCATATGCTAGAGAGCTTGCTTCTCCAATGCTAGGTTTTTAACTTCAAAGGATTGTAATGGAGCCTGAATAGGATGATTTAGATGAAGCGCTTTGGAAAGCTTGCAAACACTACAGCAACTTTGCCTATCATATTTTTGTTTGTGTTGTTTGTTTTTTCCCTTTGATAGAATAACTATTACTGTCATT